TTCTCTTCTCTTCTCTTCTCTTCTCTTCTCTTCTCTTCTCTTCTCTTCTCTTCTCTTCTCTTCTCTTCTTCATTCTGCTTTTCTATTCTATTCAATTCTATTCTGTTCTATATTCTATTCTATCTTCTATTCTACTCTGTTTTTTATTCCAATATTCTATCCTAGCCCCTCATCTATTCCACATTCGATTTTATTCTTCTCTTGTCTTCTACTCTATACCCTACTCTCTAGAGAGAGACCCCCCCCCACTATCCTCCCTTGCAGAGGGGGTGGGGTGGGGGTCTTTCCAACCTTACCGATGCCACTTGAAAAGAATTGTTGGTGCCTCGGTGGTCCAAGTCGTGGCACATGCAGGAAATGAACAAGGCAAAGATTTCAATGTCTCTACAGGGAAGGAAAAACAGGGGAGGAGGTCGGTTCGGGGCCGCATCGACCAAAGGGGCAGACTCGAACCCACGCAAAGTGGGACTACCTTTTCTTTTGCCATGGCTTGCTAAGGCCACACCTGGAACACAGGTAGTCCTCGACTTACAAGAGTTCGTTCAATGGCACCGTTCGGTTACCGTGCCACCGGCAAGAGCGACTTACGCCCGTTTTTTTTTCACACCTTACGACCGTTGCAGCGTTCCCGTGGTGACGTGATCAAAGCTCGGCCACCAACTCGTGTTTATGACGGTCGCAGTGCGCTGGGGTCATGGGATCCCCTTTGGCGAACTTCGGACAAGTAGACCCAAAGGGGACAACGGATTCGCTTAAGGACCATGTGATTAACTGTAGGGATTCCCTTAACAACTTTGGGAGGAATGACCAAAAAACGGCGTAAAATTCACCCGCTAAGAACTGTCTGGCTGAGCTACTGAAACGCTGGGCTCTGTTTTGGTCATAACATCGAGGACTACCTCAATTGTATCCCGTTTTGGGCACCGTGCTGTAAAAAAATAAAGAGGTTGACCCACTGGAAAGAGTGCAGAGAAGAGCCCCAGAGATGATTACGGGGTTGGAGGATTAAAACGCCTGAAGAACGGTTGCAGGAACTGGGTCTGTCTCATTTAACGACGAGAAGGACTAGCGGGAAGGTGACAGCAGCATTCTGGAGGACGTCGCAAACTGTCCTCAATACGAACCACTTGCCAAGAGTCTGAATTTTGACCGTGTGATTATGGGGATGCTGTAACGGTCGCAAGTGTGAAAAAAAGAGCCATAAACAGGGGTGGGATTCAGCCCGGTTTGGGCCGGTTTGAACGAACCGGGTGTTAAATTTACATCCGGTTCGCTGAACTGGTAGTTGAAACGATTGGCTGGCCCCGCCCAACCCCAACCCTCCCAGAAGTCTCCACGCTTCTGTTTTTACCTGCACAGGTAAGTGCAGGGTCTGGAAGGGCCAAAAACAGGCCAAACCCAGAAGTTCTGTAAGTCCGGAAATGGGCCTGTTTCTGGCTTCCGGAGGCCCTCCCGGAGGCCCGAGGGAAGCCTCCAGACTCTGGGGAAGGCAAAAAAATTGCCCTCCCAAAAGTTCCGGCAGGCCACGCCCACCATGGCCATGCCCTCCCAGCAACCTGACAGAGAACCAGTTGTTGGGATGTTTGAATCCCACCCTCAGCCCCAAGTCTCTTTTTTCCAGTGCTGTTATAACTTCGGTCACTCAACAAGCGGTTATAAGTCAGCGATGGCGAACCTTTTTGTTGTGGTGTGCCAAAAGCGCGCACCCTCCCTGCATATGCGTGCGCCCTGCCATGTCCCCTTACCTGCACTGCGCATGCGTGCACCTCCCAGCTGATTTGGGGCAAAAAATGAGGCCATTTTTGCCTTCCCGGAGGCTCGAGGGAAGCCTCTGAACCCTTGGGAGGCCGAAAAAAAGGGCCTGTTTTGGCACTCGTGGTATTTCCGGAAGGCCTGTTTTTTGGCCTCCAAAGGTTGCAGGATTCTCTCGAGCTTCCAGGAGGGCGAAAACGGTTTCAAATGGGCAGAAAACCAGCGGGGAGGCACACCCATGCGCAGTGCAGGTAAGTTTAACTGGGGCTCATGGGCCCACACAAACGGCTCCACGTGCCACCCGTGGCACGCATGCCGTAGGTTCGCCATCGTGGTTATAAAATTGAGATTTCCTTTTGCAAGATTTCCCCCTCAAGGCGAAGAAACGAGAAAGGAAATGGCTTTTTGGAGACCCTCCGCCGTGTCTTTGCTGGGTTTGGAAAGCCGGCACCCCGACTTCCACAAGCTGAACAGGGAACCAAGAGTTGTGGGTCCAACCTCAGCTTGCGTTGTCCCAAGAGATGCTTTAAGATCCTTTTCCTGCGTCCTGCAGGCCGGGAGGGACTCGCTCTCTGACGACCCCCCGGGGCCTAAACCAAGCCCGTCATCCACGTCCACTTACTCCAGGTAGTTGATGAGCTCCAGATTCTTGTACAGCAGGTAGCAGAAGTGGGAGACGGAGAAGGCGTGCATCCAGTTGTGATACGGAGGGTCTCTGTACCCCTTTTTTACCATGAGGCAGAACCTGAGGAAAATGACCAAAAAAGAGAGTCACTTGGGGTTATTTAAGACCCCTCCCCCCGAATGTAAGACTGAGCAGCCATTTCCTCTTCTTAAGAGGGTCCTTTCCTTGCTGTGTCTTTTCCACAAAACGAAACAACATCGCACGATTGCAGCTCCCACCTTAACCTTTTTCCAACAACTCCTCGTGGATCCTCCTGTCACCTCTCGAACTCCCGGGAGTTACCAGGACTCTCTGCGCCTTTCCCAAGCCCTGGTCCAACGGGGACACCCCCTGCCCCCCTTACCCCCCCCCCTTGGGATTGGCCAGGCATGCGACAAGCAGGTAAGATGGTGGCCTTTTTGCCGGGAATCCCCTCAGCCGAGCCGGCACAGGAAATCATGCGTTAAGCCTGGTGTCCAGACGGAGAAGCGGGAATCAAGTCCCTTGATCGCTTCGGGATCCAGAGGAAGGAAAAAAGGGGGGGAAAAAAGCCCCCCAAACCTGCCTTGTTCTCTACTCCCAACCATACCTGACAAGGGTTTGACGGTCGATTTTGTAGTTGCTGATGAAATTCATGTCCTGCAGCATGCTCAGAATGGCCTTTGGGGGGAAAAGAAAAGAAAAGAAAGAAAGAAAGAAAGAAAGAAAGAAAGAAAGAAAGAAAGAAAGAAAGAAAGAAAGAAAGAAAGAAAGAAAGAAAGAAAGAAAGAAAGAAAGAAAGAAAGAAAGAAAGAAAGAAGGAAAGAAAGAAAGAGGAAGGAAGGAAGGAAGGAAGGAAGGAAGGAAGGAAGGAAGGAAGGAAGGAAGGAAGGAAGGAAGGAAGGAAGGAAGGGAGAGAGAGAGAGACAGAAAGATGAGATTGAGGGGAAAAGGTTGATGGCAACCTCCTTCACGCAAGGAGAAGCCATTTCCTTGTGGCCAAGAGCCATAACCGAGATATCTTGGCCTCCCAAAATAAGGGCAACGTGGAAGGTCACAGTTATTCTGAGGAGTTGAGTGGCAGTAGGTTGGTTCTCTCTCTCCCCTCTTCCCTATCCCTCTCTTCTCTTCCCCATCCCTCTCTCTTTCCCTCTCTCTCCTCCTTCTTCCTTCCCTCACTCCTCCTCTCCCCATCCCTCTTCCTTTCCCTCTCACCTTTCCTTCTCTCCTCCTCCCCCTTTCTTCGCCCTCCTCCTCTTCCCTTCTCCTTCCCTTCCTTCCTTCCTTCCTCTTCCTTCCTTCCTTCCTTCCTTCCTCCCTCTCCCTCTCCCTCCGGATCCTTTCTTCACCCTCCTCCTTCTCCTTCTCTTCCTTCTTTCACACCTCCTCCTCCTTCCCGCATCCCCCTTCCTTTCCCTTTCATCTCTTCCTTCCTTCACTCTTCCCTCCTCCTCCCCATCCGTCTTCCTTTCCCTCTTACCTCTTCCTTCTTTCTTTCCTTCCTTGCTTCCTTCCTCCCTCCCTCCCTTCCTCCTCCCTTTCCCTCTCTCTCCTTTTGTCATCCTCCTTCTCCTCCTCCTCCCTTCTCCTTCTCCCCTTCCTTCCTTCACTCCTCCTCCCTCCTCCTCCCTCTCCTTCTCCCTCCCTCTCCTTTCTTCACCCTCCTCCTCCTCCTCTTCCTTCCTTCACACCTCCTCCTCCTCCTTCCCACATCCCTCTTCCTTTCCCTCTCACCTTGTCCTTCCTTCCTTCTTTCCTCCTCCTCCCCCTTTCTTCACCCTCCTCCTCTTCCCTTCTTCACTCCTCCTTCCTCCTCCTCCCTCTCCCTTTTACCTCTCCCTCTCCGTCTTACCTCTTCCTTCTTTCCTTCCTTCCTTCCTTCCTTCCTCCCTCCCTCCCTCCCTCCCTCCCTTCCTCCTCCCTTTCCCCCTCTCTCCTTTTGTCATCCTCCTCCTCCTCCCTCCAAAGCTACAGCTGATCCAGAATGTAATGTAGGGTTACCTGGCCGGTCACATGGCCACTGAAGGCCTCGCAGGTGTGACTCCAGATTGTAGTGGCCACTGACTGACTCAGCTAAGCTTTCATAGGCAATCTGCCCAGGCCTGGTTGACGGTCCTTAGTGCCATAGGAGTCTATGAATTTATTCTTTGATGTTTGATGTTTTCAACCTACACAACCTCCCCTGAGCCCCTTGGCAAACACGGGGTTGTAAAATGGGGCCAAACCCATTGGACAAGTTGTTTAGCTTAACAAAAAAAATGTTAGATTGATTGAATGAATGAATTTGTCAATGAATGAATGAATGAATGAATGAATTGATCAAGGAATAAATGAATACATTGACCAATGAATGACTGAATTGATCAATGAATCAATGAAAAAAATTGATCAATGAATGAATGGATGGATGGATCAATGTATCAATGAATGACTGAATGACTGAATGATTGATTAGTGAATCAATGAATGACTGATGAATTGATCCACAAATGACTGAATGAATTGATCAGTGAAAATGAATGACTGAACTGATCAAAGAATAAATGAATAAATTGATAAATGAATGACTGAATTGATCAATGAATCAATGAATAAATTGATCAATGATTGAATGAATCAATCAATGGATCAATGAATGAATGACTGAATGAATTGATTGATGACTGACTGACTGACTGAATGAATAAACTGATCAATGAATGAATGGATCAATGAATCAATCAATGACTGATGAATTGATCCACGAATGAATGACTGAATGAATTGATCAATGAAAATGAATGACTGAATTGATCAATGAATGAATAAATCAATCGATCAATCCATCCATCCATCCATCAATCAACCAACAAATCTTTCCAGGTGCTTCAAGCAGGCAAATTGGAACTAACACTTACCATCGATGTGTCGTCCTCAGGAAGCGATCGCGGTGTGTACGTGAATTTGGCGAAGTTTGAGTCGATCTGTGAAACTGGGATGATTCCTTCACGGAGAAGTTTGGCGTGCTCATCATCCGATACCTGGAAGAAGGAAACGGACTCATTGTTTCCAATCGGAAATAATATATAATATAATAATAATATTTAATATATTTAATAATATAACATATTTATAGATAACTAGATAGATAATATAGATTAGATATATATAAATTATGTAGATGATAGATAAGATAGAGAAAGAGATAGGTAGGTAGGTAGGTAGGTAGGTAGATAAGTGTATATATAGACAGATACTGTAGACAGATATAGAAGTTGGCGATACATAGAATTACAGAACTATCTATCTATCTATCTATCATCTATCTGTCTATCTATCAATATGTATGTATGTATGTATGTATGTATGTGTGTATGTATCTATGTATCTATCTATCTATCTATCTATCTATTTATCTATCTATCATCTATCTAATTATCTATCTATCTAATTATCTATCTATCATCTATCA